CACTTCCCCCCCAGGCTGTGGTCAGTCCTTCAAGGCCAGGCTGTTTCTGTCTTGGGAGCACAGCATCTCTCTCCATGGGTYTCCCACTGGACACAGCCACCTCRGGAACAGCTTGTTCTCCTCCATGGTCAGCACCATGGCTTGCAAAGCACTKCCACCCCCTCCCTCTCCACTGACCTCAGTGTCTCCATTTTCTCACATCTCCTCACCTTTCCACCCCACCTCTGTCTGATGGAAGCTGCAGTGTACTTTGTTTTGGAATTCTTAAATACGTCGTCACAGAGGCATCTCCAGTTGGCCCAGGCTTGACCATCAGCATGTCCACCACCTTCAGAGCCATCAGAGATTGGCTCTACAGCATGAGGGTGTTGGCGCAGACCTCACACGCTGACAGACATGGGGGGAAGGTGTCAAGGTCAGCACTTTATTATCTCACAGCACAACCTTTTATACTTTTTCTTCACATCACGCAAATAACATGAGCTCTCTTTCCTTCTCCTAGTTGGTCACAAATCACTGTTTTTTGTAAAATGACAACACACAGTACTACCCATTGCAAGGCCTTCTCTGTTTCTTAAAGTTGCTTATCTCTAAAACCCGAGGACAGAGCTGCAGAGGCTATGAACAGCCTCTCACTTGCTTCTCATGTGGGGTGGGGGGAGGATGGGAGGGCAGTGCTTTGCTATATATCCCACAGGAGTCATTTTTGTGTGCCCCTCCCCCACTAAAAAACTGGGCCAAGCAAAACTACCACTGTACACTTTACATTTATTCTCACTCTGGAACCTTAAAAGTAATAAATGTCTTTTAGTATATTTCTAGCAAGGAAATATTTCTTCTTTGGAGATTTCTCAGAATACTAGAACTAATATCTATATTAATTGAACTAAAACTGTGAAGCTAGGCTGGCATGTAAGACTGAGTATGCAGATATTATCTTAAACCAAGAAATTCCAGAAAATATATTGAGCACGATGTTCTGCTTCCTGAAGGGAATCAGATCTAATTAACCTTGCTACTATATGTATAGCCAAGAAAAAGCCCAGAAAAGTGAGCATTGCTGGTGATGCTTATCTATGAGGTGATAAATCCATTCCTTCTTCCAACTGACACAGGTTTGGCTGTGTTGTGTTAGGACATTGGGACATAATCCATTAGAAACTGAGGCTGAGRGGTTTGGAATCAGTGTAAGTAAATGTGTGGGTGGGTAGGCAGAAAGAATAGGTGACTCGTGGGGGAATGACATCTACTCTTGTTTTTGAAGGAATTGTTAAAATGTGAAAAAGAACCTATTTGTAACAGGCATTTCAGGAATTTTGATTTATGCCAACAGCCAAGCCTCTTAAAGAGGTTCTACTGCACTGGTGAATTCTAGCCCAAGCACAAGCTTTGGGTGCAGTGATCTGTCAGATATTTTTCTGCTCATGAAAGACCAAGTTTTGGTCTGAGTCTTAAAGAATTCCCAAGTGTCTGTGGTGTGTAGCACAAGCTGAAGAGCATACTTCTGCTTTCTCTGGTCCTTTCTCTGGTTCAAGGTGAAACTGCTTRCTTAGCTTTGCCTACAGATCTGAAGTTCAGATTCCAACACACAGCCCTACTGAAAGATTTTACTTCTAAAGTGTCCTGGGTTTTTCGTAATTAAATTGTCCACTTCTRTGTCCATCCTTCCTCCTGCATCCTACTTCTTGCAGCAGAATTTAGTTCTTCTCTCTTGAGTTKTCTTATTTTTCTATTTTGTGATTTTTCTCATATCTTTATTTATGGATGGAACTTCTTTTGATCTGGTTACATTATGTTTGGTCTTTCCTTGGTTATGTTATCATTGTGTATTTCTGCCTGTTGTGTACATTAATGTAGTAAAGTGGAAATGTATCTGGTTTTGTTAATATCTCTTGGTGGTAGAACTATTTGAAATTTAATTTTCCAGTCTTTACTAAGTTAAGATAGCAGAATATATTGTTTGACACTTTTTAATTTCTGGAACAATTTTTTTCATACTTTCATGCTTTTTCCTCTGTCTAAGCTTTGTAATATGAAAAAAAGGATGAAGTTTCATGAAATAACCTATGTTGGTCACTTCTAAAAAAAAAATTAATCGTTTTACTACATATACTGTAGTTTTTATCAATATTATAGATAAAAAGACTGAATTCTTTGTGCTTAATACCAAAGGCTGTACTAAGTTTGTGTTTTTAACTAATATAGAGAAGTATTTCTTCAAGTTTGAATGTGTGAAAGATTATAGTTTTTTCTCTTTTTTTGTGTCACAGCACGTATTTGGCACAAAAATAATGTAATCTAGAGAATAGTGCAGAATATGTAGGTAAAACTATCCTGTCARAATTTCTGCATTAAGGAATAAATGCAAAACTATGTGCATATTTTGGGATGTAGTGGGATGCATACATCTGTGTGTCAGTGCCTTATGAATTACAATAATTGCATGTTCACAGGAGTTCTTAGCAAATTACAAACCTGACTGGCTGCATCTGCTGAATATGCTGATTTAAATAAAAGCAAATTTAGTCCGTAGAGGCATTTTCAGCGTACCAAGGGGCATTGTGTTCTATTCCCACTCACCCCTAACAATCACAGAGATGTTATGAGAGTTCTTTCTGGTGAGGCCTGGAGGAGCACCAATGTCCATGCCTCTTTCTTGATCCTTTTCCTCCCTGTTTTTTCCCCATCTTTGGACTATGGTCTTGGCTGTGCCAACATCAGTCTTTGTGGAGCTGTGTTTTAAATGAAATCAGGGAGCTCCTCTCAAGTAAAGAGGTAAATATTTGTTTTTAGAAAGGGAGAACTCCTTCCCCCAGTAGGGAAAAGTGGCAGGAGCACATCTAAGCAGCACTTGCTGAAAGAAATGTGTGCGAAGCAAAGAACCTTGCACATGTTCCTCACTTGAAATGCTGTTCATCTTAAATCTCTTTGAAAATCTGAATAATGAAGTTRGGCAGAACTGTTCAAGTTAGCATTATTGTAACCCCCTAATTATAATTACTTTCTTTAATACTTAAATATTAACTTATTTGATACTGTGTATGTATCATATACTAAAATACTTATGAAGTCTGATTGTGACAATGGTCTTTTCTGTATTTTCTTGCTTACTRTGAGATGAAATAGAATTTAAAATATTTCATTGCCTTATTAATGAACAGTAGCTTTTCTGTTGTAAAGATATTCATACTTTTGCTGATACACTTATGAACCTACCTCTAAACAATTAGAATTTAAGGTCAGCTTTATGATTTTGAGCAGATTGCTTTTGCAAATGAACACAGAAATTATTGCATTTGTACAGACCAATTAGTCCAAATCTGTCAGTTCCAGTTACTCCTGTTTGCCACATGTAGACAAGTTTTCCATACCTGTGGTAATTCTGTGGTATAGAATGGCCTCTTGCTGGGTGTCACTTGTGCTGTAAGCAGCTCGCCCTTCTGGTTTAGCTGCAGGAGAGCCAGAGCATTAAACAGTAGATTTTAGGAGTGTTAATCTGTTAAGCGTAGCTTCTGTGCTGCTTTCTGCACCAGTCTTTTTTAAACAGTCTGTCTTTAGTCTTCAAAAGAACTGTTGTAATGAAAAGCATACAGCCTTGGAATGTCATAAATTAGTTTAATCCTGTGAATTTATGAATTTAATGTAGGTAGAAATTTTAAAGTCAAAGAATACTCCTTAGGAATATAAATTTAAACAAACAGGAAAATGATCTAGCTGATTGAAACATTGAAAAATGGCAGAAGCATCAACATTTCATTTTTAATAATTAGTTTATTAAAACTAAAAACAGTTGAAAGCCTGCTGTTCTGCATGAGTCTCTGATGGTTCAGTAGTCCAAGAAATGCATAATGCTGCCAGTATTCCCATTTTTATTCTGTTGAACCAAATGAGAATTTATAAATATTTCATATTTAACACAGTCTTTCCAAAGTTCAGCATTACAGAAAGTATGAAGTAAGCGCATAATTTATGAAATTAAGAGTTATTTGACAGATTCCTCTGTGGGCTGGAAATACATGTTTGTTGTAAGACATCCTTAAAAAACTGTTCTCTTTGTTCTCATGCAGGTCCTTCTGAAACATCAGAGATGATAGGTGAACAAAATCCTCCTGGAAAAAGTTATATAGGTATATCTTTTGCTTGTATTTTTCCTCCCAACTGTTTTGGAAATTGAGTGCATGAGTTTTGTTTTTCACAGCTTTGCTACTTGATTTGCTGTAAAACTGAGGGTATTAGAACTTGAACAGAAATGAAGATTTCAGTTGATTTAATTTCCAACTATCCAAGTGTAGAGACATATAGATGGGAACTTGATTTCTTCTTTTTCCAAATTCAGAGAGGAGCATCAGATTGATCACTCTAAAACACTGGTGATTTGAGTGAATTGGTATGTTTCTCAAGAAATCAGGCTATTCCATAATGGCTTTTTAAGTTTAATAAAACTCTGCTGTATAAATAGTCAGTGCAACTTAATCATTACTTTCAGTTCAGAGTGAGGTGAATGAGCACATAAAGAAAAAAATAAATGGGAAGTCTGTGTTTAGTGGAAGGTCTTCCTTAATGAAACCCTGTAATACATGAAATACATTTACGAAAAACATTGCCAATTTTTAGAACTTCTTACCGTTGCACTAAAAATACTGGTTTGCCAATTTGTAAAGACTAGCATATATAAACATGCATTTAAGCCCATTAATTTTGCAATAAGGTCAGAATGTTCCTGCTACCACGAATTTCTAAGATAAAAAAAAATGAGCCTTAGTGTTGTTCATGTGAACATTGTAGTTCTGGGATTTCTCTTGTGAAAATCCCTGCTTTGAAAAGTCAGTGATAAAAGCTTCTTTTGTATTTTTACTGTGGTATCTTTTTACTTTATATTTGTAAAGGAAACCACCAGTATCATACTCAAGCATACAGAGATCTGAAAGAAGATACTSTTCAGAATGCGCAAGCACAGCAGTACTCTGAAGGCGTAACTAAAATCCGTTCCTTCACACACTGCTACTTAATTTTGATATAGTTTCTGATACAATTAGCTTCACTTTCTCAACCTGTACTGCAGTTRARTATRAATTGCTTTCMCACACTAGGTKTTGATCRGYCTGATYGTGTTTGTTTTGTTGGTGCACACTGGCCCAACAAAAGCATTGTGATYATGAATATCCCTCCCATGTTTCACTGTTGGCCTTGCAGTCTGTTATGGAAATCATTATAGTTCAGCAACCATGAGTCTGTAGAGATAGTAAAAAAATACGTACTCTGGGGATGCACAACCTTTGTATTTTCAGTAATACTGAGTAACAGAGGGGAAAATAAGAACGATTGTATTAACCCTACAAAGCMAARAATGTGGAATTTCCTTCTGTCGTGAGCACCAACTGTGCATTGCTGCATGCGCAGTTTAGCAAGTGTAATCCTCACCTCCTTGCCTTTGTCTGGAGTTGCTCAAAGGCTTATGGTAACATATCTTTGCTTCTGTTTTTGTCGTATACGGTGAGTGCAAGAGGCYTCTTTGACCAGTTTGGTTTAAATGCGGAGTCATGGAATGTTTGGTYAAAAATCTTGTCTGTGTCCATCATTCAGCAGTCTTGTTTTTTCCTTTACAGATTCCTCCCATCATGACTCACCAGAAACAAGTGAGGATTCTGAGGCTGAGTTARGTTGCGAAGGTCAGTTTCCCAAGTMATTGATTACAGTTGGTTGGGTATTTTTATATGTGAAATGGGTTTTGCAAAGCCTGCATTACTTGGCATTGAATGAAGAGAATTGTGTGTGAGTGTTGACTGCAGTTTGAATTGCTCACTGACTGGTAAACATACGTAGTTGAGGASTATTATAAAACCACAATATACTGAAGCATACTGGACTTGCTGGGCTGGTTTTGAAATGATTCCTGACAGGAATTTRTACCTTGTGTGTATTTATCGAGTGTTGGTAGTGRAAAAATAATCATTGAAGAGACAAGATAACATTCATTCATTCTGTAGAACATAATGCTAATTTGGTGGCCTAATAAGCACAATGTCTTAACTCAGTTAGAGCTTTGAAATTCAAAAAAGTTCCAGTGCTGCACAMTGGACATGAAACCAGTGATTTATTTTTTTTCTTGAAGATGATGACCCTAACTACATGCCCCCTAACAAGAGATCAAAGAGCACTACGTCTACTAATGAAGCTGCCAGTACTGGTGAACAAGAAGCAGAGGACTTTAATTTTGGTAAGGTGACATTAAAGAKAATTTTGTCTCCCTGCTTTGTTTTATGAGATGGTTCTGGGTAATTTTGTACTTCAGGAGCAAGACATGTCCAGTGCAGGCCTTCACTTAAGATCCATGGTCTCAATCTAGGTGTATTGCAGTGATATATCATTATAGGCTACYCCTTGTTTTCTTTTTAATTTGATGTGACCATGTAAATGTAGACACAGAAAGCTGGGATTTGTTGGTAGTGTTTTCTCATGATCCTTATGTGGAGTTCTCCCCAGAAATGCCTYMACTTCCRTTACTCTGGTTAAAGATGCTTGCYAWGGGACYTTTYGCAGTCCTGTACCTCACCTTTATTCTGGGGATTGGTTTGSTTTCTGGGCAAATAGCCCATTAWTCTGTTAGCTTTTAYAGGGTTYTGTGGAATCAGGAATGTGTTATTTACTTGATATTTTTGAAGGCAGCCACCAGAATTCCAATGGCAGTGAAGGAAYAGATGTGGWAATAYGCTAGAGCATTTGAGTTGTGAAATGTTTTTTGTGCRGAAAAATTRCCTTCATTGGCTATGTTTTCATGGAAATATTTATAAAGATGTCACCTAATTGAAGTTGTACATCTTCTGCAACCATTCATTTTTAAACTTTTCACTGGGTTGGCTTTTGTGATTTCTGTTTGTTTTTCTTTCAAATTCGCAAATCACGCCACTCTTGGGCTTGCCATAAGCATATTGTGATGGGAGTCATCATTATTTTAAATCATGCAAGACATTTGCAAGGKGCTGGTCAACCAAAGTTTAGTGCTTTTACAGGATGTGAACAGTTCATCATTGTCCATCTGGCTTCATCGTAAGCACGTGTCTCTCCAGCCTGAGTCACATGCTTTTCAAGCCAGGTTTTGCTAGCAGCAGTGCACCTTCTTGCAAATCCCATTAGTTTTGCTTTAGAATTAGCTATCACCATAATCAAGGGTAACGATACCAATGGAATTTGTGAGCATTTCTGCTGATAAAGGAGAATGAAGTTCATTGCTTGTGGTGCCTGCACTCTTAACTGAACTGATTTGAGAGGAGAATTCTAGGTGCTTGGTCTTCCTCAGCATGATGCCATGTGTTTTATGCCTGACTKWGAGGAGRGAGTGTGAGGMAGGGCAATTGTGATAGTAAATGTCCCAGACTCTGACTTTGTCTTAATTTTTGACTAGAATTTTATAGCTACAGATGCTGATTGTGGCTCTTKGAGTCAGAATAARGTTTTGTTACACCGCTTTTTCTCAGATCTGTTGTTTTTCACAAATTTCTTTAAGAGAGGTGTGGAAAGCTGCACCTKGWTTTTCTGAATAGAWTGATTCTGTTGTGTGTGAAGGCTGGCATTTATGAAAAGGTCTAGAGGCAGTGGATAAAAACTGCAGATAACAATCTAGCTTGAATTTCATGTGTGATTTATGTGGGCATACAGAGTAGGTGGTCTTACCTGGATTCTGTAAAATGAAATTATTTATAGCTGATCCTCACRAAAACRAGTAAGACAGAAGAATCAGCAGCACTGTTTGGATGTTCTAGAGTCTTGGGTGTAATCTGTCCACTAGTAAATTCATACATTGCAGAGGCATWTAAAGCTCTTCCAAAAGTTTTTCTGAATGCTACAGCCAGGGTTGCAGATTTACACAAATGATTGCTTCCTGCAAAGAAAAACCTCTGCGTTTGTATGTTTTGGTATATGTCCCTGTAGGTTTTCCTTGTTTTTCCCCTCCAGTAAGTTTGGTAAGGTGGTGAAAAGGGAAGTTGGCAAACCTGTGATGTGCCTGGAATCCCCCAGGTTAGCTGTAGCTKATAAAGGTGTCTGAGATGGTCTTAATGAGTTTGGATGAGTGGGGAGAATGGTGTGATTGACATTCAGCAGTCAGAAAGTTAAGGTTATGTTTGTCAGAAGGAATTGTTTTAAATGGAACAAAATCACGTTTGAGAATCTGGAGCCCTTGCTGGTGAATGACAACATTTAGAACTGTGAAGAAACTTTCTGCATAGGGAGCTGTGTGTATTTACCCAAGATCAGAAGAGACCTAGTGAGGATAGTATTTTGTTTAAAAGAACTTAATTAAGTGTTTAAAACCACTGGTTTAATGTTTCTTAGGAAGAAATGTTCCACCTGGGAGTTTTCTTCCAGAACATTGCTTTGGCATTTTAGCATGAGTCCCTTAACTACGAGTGTTTGTTGGGGTTTTGATGCTGGACTCAGTGGGCCATTTTCCAGTCTTGTAGCTGTTCTTAAATTTCCAAAA